GAAAGCTAACTCATCTGGCTACAACTTTGATTCAGACATCATTTTCCAATTCAATCACTTTCTATGCCAAAATATATCTCAATATAACGAACTATGTAACATAATTTCTTGTTTTAAATAGACAGCTGCACCTTCATTCAGTGTTTTTATCATAACTTTGTATTCCGATATCCGATTGAGACAATTTAAAATGCATTGGAAATCTAACTCATTTGGTTACAACTTTGGTTCAGACATCATTCTCCAATTCGACCACTTTATATGCCAAAAATAGGTCTCATTATAACGGACTATTTCTTCTTTTAAACAGGCAGCTGCACCTTCTTTCAGTATTTTTATCATAATTTTGTATTCCGATATCCTATTGAGACGATGCAAAATACGTTGGAAAGCTAACTCATCTGGCTACAACTTTAATTCAGACATCATTCTCCAATTTGATCACTTCCTATGCCAAATATAGGTCTCAATATGAGACTATAACACCGGAGCATAACTTTTCGGTTGGAAATTGATTTGTGATCATCTTTTGACTAAATTTGATCCCCTTGACATCTTCCTTTATCCAATTGACTCCGAGCACTCTCAAATCTTCATCGTGAGATTCGGCACAACTTTTAAGTATTTACATTTTAGCCCCCGAACTTTGGATCCCTTACAATTTAGCCATTTCTCCAAATTTGTCTACTTTTGCTTATTTTCTTCAATCTCACCAACTTACATCACAATATCAAAATCACACATCTAATTATTTATCAATTACATAAACATTACATCATTAATTATTTATAGGGTGTCTGTTTCTGCTTTTCAGCAGAAATCAAGCCGTTGGCAACACAATTCATGCCGTTGGGAGCCGCAATTTTGGACCAATTCTCTCACTGTAGGGCTGTAGGTTTGGAAAAAAAAACGGTAATATAATCAATTTTCCTTCCTCCTTGCAGCGCGCCCAGACACGCCCTTAATTAAACAAAAAAAATTACATCTTTATTAATAACAAATTAATTATTAAACAAAAATATTAAATATAAACTAAGCAACCGTGCATTGCACGTTGCTTGCGCCTAGTGTGTGTGTGTGTGTGTGTCTTCCTCAACAGTTTAAACTTTCAAAAGATGTAAATTACTATGAGAGCTGCACAAAAATCCTACTTCAAAGTCTGCTCTACCATCCCACATGACAAATTTTGATATGTTGAGTATTTAAGAAAATATAGAAAATCAAGGATGGGTGCACTATAGGTGCAGGATGGGAGCAAAGGTTTGGGACACATTATTATTTACTATGAAATGATATACTTTGACCTTTTTTTTTTTTAATTATATATGTATATTGTAATTTGTTCCTTCATAATGCTAAATTAATTCTTCATCACTATAAAAACAAAAAATTTATCGATAAACAAAAGATTAAATTTAAGGATATTCATAACATAGAATGAACTGAAATTAAAGTTAACCTGCTCCTTTATAGATTTTCTTTTTCTTTTTAAAAAAAATAACAGAAAAAGGGACAAAATTTTCACCTGAGTTTATTAAATTTTTTAAGTATCTAGTTTATCACTAAATTCTATCCAATTTTTAAGTATCTATTTTATTGGCTACAACCGAATGACTTCTCAAGCAGATTCTTGATTGTTTCGGTTCAACCAACAATTAGATTTAGTTTTCAAAATATGTATAAATACGTGTTTCATCTTCAAAAGCTTAAACTTTTAGAAGAGATGAGATTACAATTAGAGCCACGCAAAAAAACCTAAATTCATGTCCGCCACGCAATTACACATGAAAAATTTTTGTAGTCGAGCATTTAAGAAAACAAAGAAAACTGAGAGAAAGCAGGAAACGTGGAGTGTTATTAAAAAGAAGTACCTTTGAGCATCCAGTAGTAAACCAAACCAGGACTCTCCATTCAGTCCTTGATTCTCCTTTACCTGTTTCCCACAAAGGGTTCTGCACAAATGTTTTGACCATATTCTATCATTTTAAGCAGATTATAATTTGATTACTGGCTGACTCTTCTCAAGTCCCACATGTAAATAACTATGCTTACAAACTACATACATTGGTAATGCACTGGACTATAACATGAAAATGTTCATTAAGCATCGATCCAGAAGTAGCACAACTTTTGCACAATTTCTACCAACTTATCCACAAGGTCATATGCAACAAAGAACTACACAGCTTATCAATCTTGTGCAGTTGTCGTGCAGAATGAGTTCAAATACTCTAAGCCTAAGCTTATTCAGCATTACTAGTGCACAATATTGATTTTGAAATTTTTTTTCTAACTGAGTGGAGGGATTGGAGATTGAGTCGCAAAAGAGTTGAAATTTTTATTTTTGGCTACAATAATATCAAGACAATATTCTACATTTTATATTATCTAACAAAACGTTACATAATAAGTAGGTTCAGATTCGCCTATAGTTTCGAGAAAATTACATGCACTACAAAACTGAGCAGAATAGTAAATTATAGGGAACAATGGTAATTTGAAAAGAAAACCTGTTTGCCAATCAACTCCCCATTGATGTCTATGGTTCATGGTTGCTTACAGGTTGAACTGTTATAGTCCCTTCTGAAGACACCTCCTCTCCATCTGGCTGTTCGGAGTGAACAGGATCAGACAGCGTTTTGCTGGAATCACCACTTCCTGTCTGCTCTTCTACAGCAGGTGCCCTCTGCTTTGACTTGTGTTCCGCACATGCATCTTGGGGTTCCGAGCTTCCTCGATCAACAGAATTTTGCAAAGGGAGCAAGCTGTCACTGAAGCCTGGGTGTGTTGCAGGAGGTGGACCTGGTGCAACACGAGAAGAGATCAATTCGAGGACTTCAGGTGAAGGGGATAATCCTGCAGTCACTTTCTTGATTGTAGTTGTCCCAGATGAAGATGATCGGCTCATCATTTTCGGATTGAGAGAAGCTATGTTGAAGTTTGGCTCAATCCTAGGGAATCCTGAAACCCCATCACTCGAGTTTGGATGCAGAGGAAAGGCTGGCTCTAGAAGAACGGATGACGAACAAACATGTTCTCCAGGGTGGCTATCTTGGCAGTTACTGGCAACCACTTGAGAGACCTGATTGGCAAAATGTGATCTCTTCTTCTTCTTCTTCTTCTTCGTCTTCGTCTTCTTCAAACTGCATCGAGGATCCTGGGGACGGGGGGGAGGTAGTCCCGGGTCAATAAATGGGGGAATTTTGGAGGACTCTTCCCCATACAAGACACAGACAGATTGTGCTATTGCAGACAGAGTCGGTGGCAAATCAGGTTCAGGAGTTTTACCAGGAGCATCTACTGCTTCTCGAAGCCAATGAGGAAGCTTTTCCTTTGGAGTACAGGTAGAAACCACTTCTTTTCCTTTAGATTGGGGAACCTTCTGGTCCCTGTTACAATTGGCAACGAGAAAAGAACCAGTATGCTCGCTGCTACCCATGTTACCAAGGCCAGGCAATAAACCCAATCTAGTTGTATCCCATCGTCTCTCCAGCTGCTGTACCTTAGAACTGTCTGAACAATTTAAACCAATAGAATGGAAACTACTAGATCCTGATGAGTTCAACAGAAATGGAGACTCTGTGATGCCAGAAGAAAGAACTAATCTATCAGAAGGTCCTGCAGAGGAGTCTCTGGACAACTTTGCTGGGAACGTATCCGAAATCCAAGTTTGAAGAGGCGGATCAGACGGTTTCAGGTGTGGCAAACTAGCTGGCAGATCACCAAGACCCAATTTCATATCTGTAATGCGGGTGTGGAATTTCACTGGCCCATCACATTTACTTCCGTGCAATCCCCGTGCCAGCATTCCATCAGAGCTAGACCCAGGCAATGCATGAGCCATCATTCCATCAGAGATAGTTCCGTGCAATGCACGTGCCATCAGACCATCAGATATCCCAGAAAATAAGAGTGAACTCGTGGACTTTGGAGGCCTGAAAGAGTTTGGTCCCGGTAATCCTAACCCATCCACGATCTTAAGTTGTTCTACTTCCCATCTTGCTGACAAATCTTCAGCAGTTTTGAACTTCGAAAACTTTAGCTTTGGGTCTCGTAGCATTGAATCCCACCTTCCCCTTCCATGTCTACGAACACCAATCCACAGATAATCAAGTTCATCCTCAGACCAGATATCTACCTTTGATTTCATTTTCAGCAGATTGCTGGAGCCAGGTCCAGTTCTCAGTATAATATTCTCAAGAACTTTCCGATGGTTTTCAGGAAATGCAAAAAATGAAGGTGGCACCTGATCCGAGCATAATCCTGGAGGCATCTGCTGTTCTTGTTGATTACAGTTGGGAAGATCAGGTGAAAATTTGATATTCGGCAATAACGGAATCTTAGGGAGTTCAGGGACAGAATTATTTCTGTCTGCAATACTAGATCCCAGCGATAAGCTTGAGAACAAGTCAGGAGTTGGATGGGAATAGTTTGTACTAGGAAATGAATATCTCAGAAGCTTCTCATCAAAAGGTAATTTGGGCAAGAGAGTCTTTTCTCGAAAACCAGAGAAATTAGCACCACAGTTTCCTAGATGCTCCGCCGAGCTTTTTCCTCTCAGAATATCCAGATGATGCTGCAAATAAATGAGAATTAGTCAAATCAAATCATTGTGTGCATGGCAGTGTGTGTGTGAGTGCGCGCGCGCGCGAGAGAGAGAGAGAGAGCATACTGGATTCAAGGGTAGATAATTATCAGGGATGTCACTTTTATGTTGTGAAAGAGAAGAGCCCGAAGAAATATCCGGAAATTTGAATCTGCCTGAGACTGCTTCGTTACCTTTAGCAGTCATGTCATTTAACATGCTAGAACAAGTAGCAGGTAATGGGAACTCCAGCCCAAGTCCTTGTTTGTATTGTCTTTTATTTGGTCTTGAGAATTTCCGATGCAATGGCTCCAACTGGTTAGCGTTAGGAGCATTAGGAGCACACAATCCTAAAACTGGCAACAAGTTATACATAGAATTCATGGAGCTTGTGCCCTTTAAATGGTCATTTGACGGGGAAATATCTGGAAAGCGATTAGACATAAGCTCCAAATCAATAGTAGATTTATGCTCTGATATCTTGCCCAGCATCATGGTTGAGTCAGTCTTGCTATTTGATCCTACGGTTTGACTATGACTCTTATTTTCTAAGTTCGTGGTTGTAGCATTCTCTTCAACAGGCCGAGTTGATATGGTCATTTGATTACCTTCTTTAGCACGCAGAGGAGGGAGTTGAGGAAGTGACTCTAGTCTGAACAATCCGTTGATGGGAGTAGATGATACAGTTGCTTTCCTCTTTGTCAACCGTTCCTTTTGTCTAGCACGAAGCTTTGCACTGTAGAAAGAAAACACATTAACAGCATAGGTTGAGTCAACAATCTTGAGCAATTAAGTATGTGTAAATTGATAAGCATTAATTTTATTACATTCTCATTCGTCCAGGGCTGATTAGATGCATCCTTGTGCCTTAATTACTTAACTTCTACTATCAAGAGCCACAATTGTACCGACTAAAATATTTTTGAAGCTATCACCCCATGATCTCTGGGTTACAGCCTTGTATTCTTATATACATTAGATGCATGATAACCATTCATATGATATTGCAACGAAATATTATATCTTAGATTTCTAAACATATTTTTAAGGAGATATAGTTCCAAAAGGATTAAGGCCCAATCAGTGAACAGAAGAATCAGATCCTGAGTATAAAACGAAACTCGGACAAGAAAAAAGTGTAAAACTCTCATGAATAAAAACTTACTATTTTGCTTTAAGAGCTCGTCCAGCTGGAGTGTACTCTCGCTCAGGCTCTGGTTCAAGCTCCAGTTCCCCTTCTGCAACACTCTGGTACACCACACAATAACAACAATTGCTGAGAGTCAGGCAGATTTAGCCTCTGATAAAAACATCCAATTCAACTCATGAAAATTGTAACAAAATTTAATCAGGATGGAATCATTTACATTCTAACATAAAAAATACATGGAAGGTGAACCCTAGACTGGTCTGTAATAGCAGATAGTGTTGGCAATTAAATGAAGAGAAAAGATACTTCTTTGTTCGATAAATGGGGCAGTAAAAGCTGAGGTTATTAGCACTCTCCAATCATTGATAATGGGAACTGAAGATGGCCACTGGGGTGAACAATAATACAGGAAGTTAAAGCAAAGATACAGTAGACTGCAGACGGAGTTCCCTATTTATAATGCTTGGATTCCGATAGAATGAGGGTCGAGACGATGATACTCATTGTCGATAGCCAAATTCGCAAAACCAAAAAGGAAATGCAATTCACAACCTAGTCAATTTTTCATATTATGCCAAAGCATTGTTGGCAATATTGGACAGGATACCCAAAAGGTGGCAACACAAATCACAAACACAATATGGTAGAAGCTGCTGTATCATGTCCCTGTTTACTTTGGGGATTGTGCCTGGGGTTTAAAATATGATAAAATCATTGGAGACCAGGAACCTGTACAAGTCTATGAAAATAATAAGTCAGCAAACAGAATTGTTTACAAGCCTCTGATGCAGATATTAGGCCCTGTTTGAACGTCATTCTTTAAAAGTCAATTTTTCCTTTACATATTTTCAACCACACATTCTTCCAATAAAATAATTTTGCACGTAAATCAAAAAAATTTCCCCACCTTTTAACCACACATTCTCCAAAAAAATCACTTTTTACAAAATCCATTCTCAAGTAATGGGGGTAGGAATTTCAGCATATAAAGTGAAAATAAAAAATAAACAGAATCTCCACTCCACTCCACTCCCAACAATCAACTACATGCGCGCTCACACACACACACACACACACACACACACACACACACATATATATATATATAGAGAGAGAGAGAGAGAGAGAGAGAGTTACTTCACTCAGTGTTCCACTTGGGTGTGCCGCCACGTATGCTTCTCTGTAAGAAACAGCTTTTCTTTGACGTTTTCCCCGGCCAAGGGCTGCTTCCTCCTCACTTTGGTATTTCTTCCATCTACAAATCCAACAAGCAAATGATGTAAGAAAGAGATGCTTATGAAGTAACTTGTCAATGCGAAGTTGTTTTTGTCTAGCAAAGTGGAAAACTGATTTATGTAAACTTCCAATTTATATACATGCATGTATGTGTTTATGTGGATCCACATAATTTTCATTACAGATCAAAGAATGCTTCACTCACTACTACACCCAGAATGTAGATAGATAGGTGCATAATGTGTTGTTGGGATTATAAATTTTCCTTGTCTTACATGAAGCAGGGATTCTTCCACAATTTTGAATGCAGAATAGCCATTGCTTATCATTAAAAGATAGGTTCATTGAACTACGTTCTACTAGGATTCTTTATACTAGATTTGGGAACATCGAACGTATCAAAGCTGAGACATAAAAGATCTAAAGAAGGGATATGAAAACAATGAGTAATGGAAGAGATGCTGTACAATTTAAGATTGAAATACTTGCCTAAGTCGCAGAAGCCTGTCCCATTCATTTTCTTCATTGCTGCCAACCAGATCATCATCTTTTTTATAAAAATCACTAGTGGCCACAGGAACAGATGTTGTTCCATCTTGTTCTTCTGCCGGTTCATCATTCCATTCTAGGGACTGAATTTGAAAAGCTTCAGATTAGCTCAATAAAAATAGAAACTCTTTTCATATGAACATAAATGGTATGCAAATTCCAGAAACGACACACAAAATGCAAAATGGTGAAGTTTAATCAATTATTTAAAACTTGGAACTCATGAGTTCAGTAAACAAGTGTCCATGAATCATCGATTTCATTCAAGGTTCCATTAATCTGACTATAAACTAGAAGATCTCTATTGTATTGTTCCAAACTCAACTAAAAGCATAGAAATTTCTTCAGATAAGCATCAAATCTGGGTTTTGCTAAAGTTTAAAGGACTTGTGACCAATGAAGCTCCATGACAACCCAAATAGGAAATATAGGCAGAAACAAAGATTTTAGGTAATGTAACTGGGGTGATAAAATGGTAGAAGTAATACCTTCACTGAACCAAGCATATCATTCTCTATTTCTGATTCAGCATTATCAGGTGAATCAGATGGGACGTTTGAGCGGTCTAGCAATTTTAAAATTGAAGTTTCATCCCACACAATCTTACTGCTACCATCTGCACATTTATCTTTGTATACATCCCCAAGGCCACCAGTTCTCCTCCTGGTATTAGGCTCCGTAACTGCTTCATCTTTATTGTTTTGGTTTTCACCATCTTTTTCTGGTATGGAAGAAGAATCCCCAAAAAGTTCTTCAGTTCCCCATTTTAGGATGTCTTCCACCTCTTTTTGCGACCCAGACTTGTTCACAAAAAGTTGATCAAGCATCAATTTCTTCTTTGCAAGTTGTAAGATGCGTTCTTCAACACTAGCACGGACAACAAGCCTGTACACCAGTAATCGGTTTGATTGTCCAATTCGATGTGCCCGATTCATGGCTTGGATGTCTGCATGTGGGTTGAAGTCAGAATCATAGATGATGACAGTGTCAGCAGTTGCCAAGTTGATGCCAAGGCCACAAGAACGTGTTGAGAGAAGGAATATAAATCGACTCTTGTCTTGGTTAAAACGAGTTATTGCTGCCTGTCGATCTGCCACAGAGACAGAGCCATCAACTCGCTCATATGTCTTTACCCCAAATTCAATAGACACATAATCCTCAAGGATGTCAAGTAACTTGGTCATTTGTGAAAAGATAAGGACTCTATGACCTTCTTTATGTAACACCTTGAGCATAGAATGCAGCAAAGTCAGCTTGGCTGAAGCTTTTATTCGCATTTCATGAAGGAAATTCACCGATCCAGATTCAGGTTCAGTGCCAGGTATAAGATAAGGATGATTGCAAATCTTTCGTAACTGCATCACAATATTTAGCATCGACTGCTGCGGAACCCCTTTCCCTATGTTGCGTAAGACCTGATAATTCTTTGTTAACATGGCACGATAATATTCTGCCTGAATACTTGACAACTCAACTGGAACCACTCGTTCAGTCTTTGGGGGGATATTCTTCATGGCATCCTTTTTAAGCCTACGAAGCATATGTGGGGCTACAAGTTTCTTCAGTTCCTCTACCTTTTCGGCAGTTGTTAGATCATTAAATTTCTCCTCAAATAAAAAGAGGGAAGGAAACGAAGCTGGCTGCAGAAAGTTTAGCAGATTATACATCTCCCCTATATTGTTCTGAAGGGGAGTACCAGTCAACAGTACCCTATGTTGGAATGAGAAAGTGTTTAGCAAGCCAAAAAGCTTACTGCTAGAGTTTTTCAGACGGTGCCCCTCATCAACCACAAGAACTTCCCAAGGAACTCCACGTAGATGAGAGGAATCAGCAAGAACCATTTCATAAGTAGTCAAAAGAACATTGAACTTATAACCTGATGTTTTCTTATTCAACCCACTAGGATCAGATGCATGCCATTCATACTGGCGAATTATGGTTCTAGCCCTCATGTTCCCATGATATTCCACCACGTTGAGGTTAGGAGCCCATAGAGCAAACTCACCCATCCAGTTGGGCATTGTGGATAGAGGAACCAAAACCAGACAAGGCAGAGTAGCTTTAAATTCAAAATATAATGATGATAAAAAAGCACAAGCTGATACTGTTTTTCCGAGGCCCATTTCATCAGCAAGTATCACATTTCTTGATTTATGCCAGCTTTTGCGCAACCAATTTAATGCTTCCAGCTGATGTGGAAACAAAGAACCCCCTGCTAGCTCTTTAGGCTGTTCAGTGAGAGTAATTACCTCACTTTGTTGGAAGTTGCCTTTCCTCCATGTTGAATCATGTTTTTCAGAATCATTATCCAGCGTTTGGCGTTCAAAATTAAAGAATAAATCAACCAAGTGAAGCGACTTTGCAATTACAGGTTCACTGGTTCTTTCCCAAGTGCATTCATCATAAGGAAGACCAGTCCATTTTACATATACTTCAGTTGAACCACCTACAGAGGACCGAGTAGCAATCACTCGCTGAGGCAGCTTCCACTGATCCTGGCAAAGATTTACAGTCAATGTCCCATACTTTGCCTTGTAATTCTCCAGTTTCCGTTTCGCCAGAACTTTCAGATCAGATTCAGGAATCCAACTGTTGTGGATGTGAGATTTCCCAACCCACTTGACCAAAAACTCAAATGAGACAGTCAATCCATTGGAGAATCCAGATTCAGCCAAGTGGGACTTAGTAAATTTCATTTTAGGAGCACACATTGTTGTCATCTTAATATCACCATCTTTTGAGTTTCCATTCTCATCAGAAATGTGAGTTTGACAGTCGTTTAAGACGTCATGGTTATAACTGTCTAAGTCAAAATCAATCTTCCTGTCTCCTGATATTATCTCGGCAGTCTTTGCCGCACTTGCTACACTTGAAATATTTTCATCTTGATTTTTATTATTCAGCACATTAGAACTTTCAATGTCTCTCCTCAAAGGATCCTTGAAATTTCGATCTTTACATTCTTTGGTTGAAGATCTTCTGTATACTTGTAGCTTACCTTCATTCATGTGATCTGTTACATTCTTGCTCCCATCAAAACAGCTAGCAATATTCTGACAACCCATGGCGCAGTTTCCTTTGCCTATCCCAGGCATTTCAGAGCTGGGACTTTTCCCAGACAGTTTATTTAGATCTTCTGCAACTATGGGATCCTCCAAAGGAAGTTCATCCACATCCATCATGAGAACGTTGCAAGCAGAATTTACATTATCACTTTTCACTCGACACCCCATAACCCGATCAACCTGTTATTTAAAAAAAGAACTAGTAAAGAGAGAAAATCACATGGTTACAGGTCATACAAAGAGATCGAGTTCATTATAACACTAGGTGTTTACTGGACATCATTCTTTGCAAGAAATCCTAGCCAACATTTGTACCTGCTGAACTTCAGCAGCATTTTCTTCACATGTCAAGGAGTCAGCTGCAATTTTTGCTGCTTCACATGATTCGTGTGATCCACAAGCTATTTCCTTGGAAATCGTCTGCATCAAATGAGTTCATATTATGGAAACAGTAATAGGAAAAAGAGAAACAAAGATGAGAAAGAACTATATCGATTCTAAAATGGATAGAAAAGAATAGGCACATATCCACTCAGTATAGAAGACCCTCACCACAATAGAAATATATTTAGAGTTACAATGGCAAAATGAAAGCAAGAGAAACAAATGCAGAGTAACCCCATGAAGTAATACCATATGTTTTATACATCTTTACTGAGTAGAAATATGTATCCTAGATTACAATGAGAAGAGTTACAGATGATCCTCTTCTTGTCCTCCATATATTAAGGAGCATCTCTGAACTCTCCATAATGCGAGCAGAAGTCTAGAATGACTGAAACTATCCTTTCATGTCTTGCAAACATCAGGGAGAGAACTGAAGCACCTCATCAGATTACCAGAAGTCTACAAGAAAAATAATATGGGACGTGGTACACTGGTATTCATAAGGCGATTTAAAATTTAAAAGTAATGATATTTTTTCTCATAAGCAAATTAAAAGTATTTGATATTCAAGTTATGGTTTTTAAACATTTGATAAGATCTAGCAAAAAGGAAAATATCTTAACTTGAATAAGCACCAAAAGAGAACACAAAATGTAAAAGGCAAGAATATTGACCTCATTTTTTAGTTGGTTATCAACAACATCCTGCTTTACTGGAGTTGCACAATCCCCATGGCAAAATATCTTACGTTTTCCCTTTGATTTAGAAATTCCTGGACATGCAGCTTTTGCTTTGGACACACCTTTTCCAGAAGAATCTGTAGTAGATTTTCCCTTGTCACTCTTGCACTTTTTCTCATCACTGAGAGAATAAACCTTGTGCTTTCTTTTCCTGCGTATCCGGGTGGCAGTTTCCTTTGCAATGACAGGTCCATTTCCAGGAGATTCTTTTCTACGAGATGCTTCAGGCTTTTTCTCAGAAGCTTTCTCATCCATAGGTGAATTTCTTTTCTTTGAAGAAGACATTTCCTTAACAGAAGTAGCTAAGTTCTCTACTGGTATGTGAGCAAGGGAGACGTCCAGCTTCCTATCAACACCAGCATGTGATGAACTACCCTCCACAGAACCATCCTGCACAAGATTACCTGGTTCATTAATGCAAAATTTGTCATTGGAGGAACAGTCAAACTTTTCAACCATTTCTCCTTGACAAGGCAAGGACAAGTTTTCTTTGTCTGAGGAGTTCTTTCCAGGAATGGGGCCTTCAAATGTCTCTGATACCTTGTTAGTTTCAGATGATTCATTTTCAGCTTTTGATCTTCGAATGATAATTTTTGTCCGCGGTCGTTTTGTGACAGGATCAAGGTAGTTCACGGGCTCCAACGAAGCACTCTTCTGACAGCAGGTTGGGCATTCCCACTTCCCAGAAGGAATACGCTTGAGATAGTAAAATAATATCAAACGTTATTTTATGGAAACAAAAGAATAAATGGTTAAAAAAGAAACACTTGTACTTACCATTATTGATAAACTAAACATACCTTTAGAGGAGGATCTAAACATTGAAGGTGATAGGTACTGGGACAGCTCTCACAACACAGCAAATTTCCACCACGATCACAAACCACGCACTCATAATAATACTGAAAGAAATAACAAAAGCAGCCAAGCAAAGGTCATAATCAGTTCAAACTTGCCCACATTGCTACTCTAGCACTTAAGAACAAGTGCTTGTCAATTAATCATAATTGCAAAAAAGATAATGAAATTCAGGGTGGGGCAAATAAAAATAAAATAAAAAATGGTAGAGAAATAGATAAGTATCACGTTTATTTCTTTACCAAAGCCATTCAATCGAATCCAATTCAATTGTTTACTTATTCATCCACTTGAGATTTTCAAAATAGCTTGGTTGAACTTGAAAATTTCAAGTGGATGAATAAGGATGAAGAATGGGGCTCTAAACCTTACATGCCCAGCTTCTTGATTAAAACATCTTTCTTATCCTCTTAAATAAACCTTATATTTTTACTTCATCTTTTCAAAACGTTGTTATTGCCAATATATTTAAAAGGAAGGACTAAAAGGACCAGAAAAAAAAAAAAGAAGAAGAAGCTCACCCCATCAGTTCCTTTTTTCTTGCCAGAAGAATGATCTGAAGCAAGTTTTTCTTTCAGGCCACGTTTGGATGAAGTGCTTGATGAACATTCTATAAATTTGGAATTTTTTTCTCTGCCACTGGACTTGTCTGTACCACATGGAAGCTTTCTTCGCTTACGTTTCAAGACCCAATTTCTGTTAAGGATTTTACTAGTATCTGAAACGTTTTCCCTCATTGTTAGATGCCAAGTCGTGCATTTAAGATCTGCAATGAAGAAAGGGAAGTTGTTAGCTGCAGACAAACTTCGGCCATTGTAGTATAAACATTCTTTTCTTCGGAAAAATTTACCAAGTGTTTAAAATTTACGAAGTGTCAAACTTCGGCCATCATTAAAAAAACCCGCCCCCAAATGTTAAACACCCCCCCCCCCCCCCCCCCATCTCACATTTGCTGGACCACCCCCAATGTTAAACACCCCCCCCCCCCCCCCCCCATCTCACATTTGCACTACAAGGCCTTTTACAGGCCTGGCAGTGCAGCTCGGTTCATATATATATGCAACAAAATATTGGGGACTCTTTTGGCACCCTAAAACTAAAGTAACGAAATTTTGTAGACCCATCTCTCCCTTGCGCTCCAAATTCCATTCATTCATTTCCTTAAGCAACAAAAGTACATAAAAGATACCCTTCTAACGAGTGCAGCGCCGCACGTTCGTCACATGACTAAATCAACATAGCTATGAACTAACTCATGAGTAAGCAAGAAGCCTTTCTAACATTCCTTTAAAGATGACATTAGGACACGAACTGCTGGCAACTTAGGAGCGAAAGCATAATATGTGATTCTTGTAGCAAAAACTAGATTATATGAACAATACACGTCACAAAAACAGGATTATTGGACATGAGAAAAGCTTAAGTTAGTTGATGGAGAGACTGGCTCATTGTTTAAAAGGGTATAGGAAACATCAAAAAGTCCGCTGCTGATACTTAAATAGGTCTATGAAGGGTCTTGGAACTGAGACTTTTAACTGTTTGATGCTCACAAAAACTTGGCACTAGGATTAATATAATTGGTATGAACAATACACATCACAAAAACAGGACTATTGGACATGAGAAGAGCTTATGGTAGTTGATGGAGAAACTAGCTCATTGTTTAAAATAGCCACATAAACAAAAGCACTACTTTCCGAAAATTGATTTTAAGACATAGGAAACATCAAAAAGCAAGTCCGTTGTATCCAGGATGCTGAGAGCCATGTATATATTCTTTTTTTCGTGTTCTTTTAAGTAGTCATGACCAGTATTGATCCAACTACTTAACCCTCACTTAAGCTTGCGCATGCCATGCAATAAATAACAAGAACATTAAAGTTGTGACGCACTGTAAATTACAGGATGTCTGAGCACGGTCTATCTTGTCATTTTTTATCATTTCCCTCTTTCATAAGTTTCCTCATCAGCAAATATGTTTCTTTTTTGGATTGATAGTAACAGGAATCATAGATCTTATTCATTAACCTTTCTTTTTTTCTCTCCGAAGTTCACACATGCATAATGTAGTCATTTTTTTTCCTTACTCCGATTCTAAAGTGGGTATTTATTCATTTATTAATTCTTTAGTTTCTTACAAAAAAAGGAACTTCATGCTTCTATAAATACAGATAAACAATGAGTGAACTAATAGATCAACTTCATATAACCAAATTCAAAAAGATATCCTCAAAGCCCCATTTTACAAAGAGATGAACAGTGAGTGATCTAATATAAAACAGAGACCATCACATGCAAAAACAAATTAAATCATAAAAGATCAAGACAGGTTCAACAAAACGCACAAATAAATTCCAATTTAAATTAAAGCATCCCCAAAACCCCAAAATCATAACTTTTAACTTAATGAAAACTAAACCCACAATATGCATAACAATCAAGCAGTGCCCAGTTCCCAATGAAGAGCTATACACACTGGAATCGAAACATATTGCAGAACCACACTTGAGAAAAATTTAAAAAGAAAATGTCCCAAATAAAATTTAGCACTCACCAGACTTTGTTCATGAACAAAACCCGTAAAAAGAAAAACCCACTTTTTGCTTAATTCTCTATGCACATGAACCGATAAATTAAGAGAGCGGTGGAGCAGGGTCAAAGAGGGATTAGGGTAAAGGAGAAGGAGGAGAGAGAAAGAATAGGTGCAGACAATCGAAATAAATATAGAGATAGAGAGAGAGAGAATGAAGCGTGGATTCGGCGAGGTTGTAGGACTTGGGGTGGGCGGTGGGGTGGGGGTAGGTTACACACACTGACATGGCAGCCAAAGGGTATGTGTTGTCGTGGGAAGAAGAGCCCAGGCGTCATCCAATGGTAAGACGCCACGTGGCGCATTTGGACGCCTGTCATCATCTCTCTTCACAATCTTCTCATTTTTCTTCAGCCTTTTTCTCTTCCTTCACTATCTCCGTCTTCGTTCTGCTTCTTGACCGATGAATCGCACAGAAAAAAGAGTGTTCAATCGAGCTCCATGAATCTTCATATGAATTTATACTATCTACAGATATATACATGTGTGTATAATAAATATATTATATATTATATAGATTTTTATGCGCACGTTGTAATAATAGCCGCCATCAAGTGCTGGGGGAGAGTGTTCTTTTTTGTCTTTGACATTGTCAACAGCCTTTTCTTTATTCTTCTCTTTGAAACTTACCTTCTGCTGGTTCATAGATTTCAAACAGGAAGTGTAATGTAGTAACATTGTTATATTAAGGATGTACTAAACATGGCAGCGTGGAATCACAGTATAAAATGAAATATAACCAAAGAAGGCAATATGTTCTTGAAATAGGATTTTGCTAAAGATTTGAAGAGATATCTAGGAAATATTCGAGTTTTTAACGTATTTTATTTCGAAATCTACTCAACGGACGTGCAAGATTTAAAATATGTAACGATTGTGGGAGTGGTTAAAACAAAAAGATATTCATTTTTTGTGAGAATTTGTTTAGTTTCTTTATTGTTGACCTCAAAAACTGTTTAACACAAAAGTCAAGTTGAAGTTCGTCACCTATATATCACTTGTATTATACTTCCCTAATAGAACAATATTAGAATGCAAGATTGTTGTTATAGAGGGGAATGCAATGACTATATGCACTTGATTAAATCGGATTGTTGAAATTCAGGAAGACATTGACATAGGTTTTTTTCACATATTGTAGCCTTGTAGATTCTGGGGATGTTTATAAAGTTGAGGGCGTGCGAGTTATTCTAATCTCTCGAGAGCTTCTTCTAGCCAAAATATTGATGGTGTGTTGGTAGCCAACTCGTAGTTGTTATTTACCTTAAATATAAATATATTGAAGATATGAGTTACTTTTATATGTGTCTTGTGCATGCTCCTTTTATGACAATCGTCAGGATCATTGAATTGCTTTCCCATGACACGTCCAACCAATCACTCATTTTACCTATTAACACTTTGATTTGATGGTCTAAAATTTGCCTTATTGGGCAAATATATGGATAAAGTGGTATCTACCACCACCAAATATTTGGTAGCAAATGATCTCCGCCTCATTATCCTATGTTTGTCAACTTGTGGGATGACTTTCGAAGTGCTTCAATAACCAACTCCTACCTATGCTCCAGAGGCACTTGCCTTTAGTTTCTCTAAGTTTGAGCCTTGTCTTTGGTCTATAAGACGATCCATGTGAATCAACTTGTCTTGATACTCCAAAGAACTTGAGCATCAAGGTTCTCCGCTTGGCCATGGTCGTGCCAACCAATCTCCAACTTGTAAGGCTTAGACGTGCCCAATGCCTCGACATGGCCTCCACGTCGAGATGATTAGGGCTCCACGTAGGTAGAGGCGTAATATTTAATAAAATTTGAATATGGTAACAACTTCTTTGTATGCCTCCTCATACCTTCATTATACACATTTTCATTTTTTTTCTTGTTGAAGATATTAGGACGAAATGATTCTAGATATCTAGAAAATGCATATATATGAATGTGCCTTAATTTTCATAGCATGGGATTCGTTATATTGTCAAAAAAGGAAAAAAAATGATTCTTTCTAGTTATTTGATTGAAACATTACTCTTTATATATTTTAACCTATCTTTGGAGGAAATTGGCCATGGCTCATGGATAAGGTATGTGTCCCCTAACCAAAAAAAAGTGACAATTATATTCAAGTGAATATTTATATGCTCGTTTTATAAAACTTAGAAACGTAATGTCTCAATAAATAGAATCGGGTATAACTATATGATAATGCTATGTAGCATAAAAAGTGTTTAACATATTACAGTCATTACATAATATATCTAATTAAATATAGGAATGTGAACCCTCTTAATTGGACATATAACTGAAATGCCACATAGACGTGTGGTAAACATCACTAATATTACATCACATTATTCTAGAACAAACGGAAAATGATGCCTACGTTCAAGAATGTCATAGAAATCGAGTATTTGTTGCGGAAGAAGATGAATCGGGTATGATTGTTAGCAAAGTGGTAAATGGCCATAAAGGCTAGACGAATGGAATCTAGAAATTGAGGTTGCATGTTGGTACTGAATAGAATTACTCGATATTACCACCATGATACTACATCGTGATCAAGGACAATGCCAACGTTCAAAAATGTCAAATTAAGTTCTAAAAATCAAATTTTGAGGACTCATTACTGTCAACAAAACTCAATTCACACAAACAAAACCTGCCCAATGTTTAAAAGGCTTTCTTGAGGTACATTCAAATCACACTATTTTCCATGTAGATCTTCCTAAGAAATGCATATATATAATCAACAACTATCTTCTTATAAATCCTAGATTCCCTACTTGCTCTAACTACTGTATTCCCTAGGATGTACACCACCCAGCATCCCTACAACTAGCCAAAAACTCCAATTCATCGAACTGTCTGTCGCCCTGATGATGTTATGGTGTTGTGCATGTGCTGTGGAAATCTAGAAAGTACATGTGTGAGCATTATCTTTCAACAAAAAGTCTCTTGATCGTTGAGTCTCTTGTCCATATAAGTTGTATTCATCAGAATCGGAACACCCTTCCATCATGGACTCAAGCCGAACAAATGTGAAGAGATTGTCAAAGAGCTTCTTCTCAAATTCATTGTCTTTTTTGTGAAGGTCTTTGTAACCGTATCTTGAAACACGACGGAACATGTGGAAGTTCTTTGGACCTACACGTTTCACAAGAAATCTCTTTTCCTCTGGAATCGTGTACACAGGAAGGTACTTGACACACACAAACACTACAACAGAATGTATGGCTGGTAGGCTGGTGATGAAATGTGAGAAAATATGTGGTACTCCACTAGCTAGTTCTATATAGACAAGCCCTATACCGAGAACACGAACCAGATCCAAGCTGGGCCCAAGCCTTAAAATCCAAGCCATTGAGACCTTACTGTGCATCTCAAATTCATACCTTTTGATTATACCATAATGCCAGGTATACATGACGACAAGAAAGACAGCAGAAATCACAAGGGAAACCCAACCACCTTGATCGACCTTGAAAAGCACTGTAGAGAAGTACGTACACTCCACAACCAGAGAAAAGCCCGTGAAGATTAGGACAATAATCTAGTGGCAGTGCCAAACTAGTAACATTATTAATGTCATGATAAAAGTGGTCACGAGCATAACAATCATGACAGCAGTACCTGTTATCACATGAGACATAATATTGAAAAACCTTTAGCCTTTAATCTCTCAAAGATAATTGAAGTCATAGTTCATAATGTATGAAAACCAAATAGATGTAATTGATTCAGTTTTATTGCATTTTAACAATCACTTCACAGCATAGTCAACTTTATTACAAGGAGATATAAAGGCTGTTTACCAGTTTCGTAAGTAGCAGACAGAGAAAAGGGAACAAGAAAGCCTACTCCGTATATAGAAATTATCAACATTGCACAAGTAAGTTGGCTCAAGGATAATGCTTTACATTTTGGGGCTAGGGCAATGCAATGCCATTATAATTTCACCAACTAGCGGAGGAGCACAATAACCTCGTTGTAATAAAGGTGTTTACTTATTTTTTGGAAACATTACACCAATATAAATTTCAATCCATCAATTGGTTACCATTTCAATAGTGGATATAAATAGGGAAGATACTTGTTGTACAAAGTTTTCAAGTATGAGATTGGTTAAGAAATAAAAAAAGAAAGGCAAGAGAAAGAATAACAAAATAAATGCTGTAAAACAGGATTTAACTTATTCAGGAACATGGGAATGAATCAGAATGTCATTTGACTACCATGGTAAGTATTACTGTTATTCAAACAAAGTTCGGCTAATCTATTATATGCGACGGCATCAGATACATCATATAAAGATATGAATCTTATAGCCAATTCGGAATGTATTAGATGTTGACATAATAATATTGAGGTTAGAGATCACATATGGAAAAGTATTCTAATGTCAAACTGAGCTATATAAACTTAACTATGTGTAGGGTAATAGAAATACAAGTTTCTTGGAACAAGCACTTGCGCAGTAGATCAATACTGGGTGCATAAAAAGAAATGAGAAAAATAAAGCTTTGCATAACACGGGCAAACTCACCATAAGCATTACCAATTTGGCTTTTATTTCTAAATCCAGTCGTTACAGCAATACATAGAACCATAAGGATCCAATTCATATCTGGAATGTATATCCAAGGAACTACTTAGATGTATGTACAACTTTGGCTCTTGGAAAACATCCCAGGGCAAGGGCTTGCTTGATTATTGAAAAAGTAGCACATATGGTGGCCTGACTAGCAACAATAGCAGCCAAAGTTGCAACAACAAACATTGGCCAGTATGCATAATGAAAACTTAAATATAAGGGTTTCATGTGACACTAACATTTAGCCTCTTTTTGGATACAAATTTATAAATGGTTTATAAATTCAGTAAGTTTCTAGCATTAATTTTAATCTCACATTCATAACTATTGTTCATTATGATCTGCACATTTCGTGCGATCCACTCATATTCCTATTTAGGAACCATTTATAAATTTACCAAATGGAGGTTTAATTTCATAATCTTATATCAAGCTGATTATTGATATTCACTCATTTGTCTACTCTTTGAAATGTGATAGTCTCTGTGCATGTTTGCGAAGGTTTCCTTTGATTTTTTGCCATACGTGGTTGCTTTTTACCAAATGTAGAAAACATAAACAAGGAACTATATAAAAAAAAGGCACCTGCATTAACACATATTAGCATTTTAACATTTTGCTGCTAGGACATTCCCACCGCTGATTTCCATGCCAACGCCAACAGAAAGATATTATAAGCTTTTTGAAATAAGATGAATTTCCTAAATCAACTCATCCATGCATTTTGGTTTGGCCTAGAAGCTACTATGGAGTGATGCTGAATTCCAAAAACCATTTTCTATGGTCGAACAGCAGATTTAGTGAAGACGCTTCTTTTATCTTCAGTGCATACACACATTTCCTTCACCATAAAACATTTTTCAAAGTCAGAAAGTAGCAAGGGTTTTGCAGCGATCAATAGTTAAATATTTTTCCATCGGGAAATATAATGCACTAGTGTTTGCACCTCACATATTTTCAGCGTTGAATAAGCTCAAACAAACATGGGGGTGCATTCAAATATCAAGTTGTGAAAAAAACCAATATTTGAAAAAGCTCAAAATCATTTCTATATTGGAGACATAGTATCATAGCCAACCTGGAATAGAACGATAAAACACATCGATTACATGTTCCTTATTTTGCATCAAGTAGGCTGCTTGTCCGGAGTAGGCTAGAAGAAGGAAATGAAACACAATTACTGTGAAAGCAAGCTGTACAGCTGAAACTGGAAAATGGGTAAAATCGACAAAAAGTGCCTATGTCCCTGTAGTTAGTGAGCAGCAATCAAAATCTAATAGAACCTGCTTATACGTGCATTTTAAATATTAAAGAGTTCCAGCAAGCACTAAAACGACATGGATGGATGGAGTGAAAGGCACAGGAGATATTAAATAAACCTGTGATACTAAGAATGATGCCACCAAGAGATGTCCAACTGTCTTTTCCTCCTCTCTTGAAGTCAATACGTATACAGGTGAAAAGGCTTTCAAGACTGAGCTATCATATTTATATATGTTGAAGATGCCAATACCTCTAATCATGAGAAACCAAAGCAGTACAACAGGAGCAAAAAACCAACCAACTTTGTCTGTTCCATAATGTTGCATGCTAAACAAACCAACTAGTATGAACACAGCAACCAGTACAACCACATCTGTACGAGAAAACACGAATTTAGACTTATAATGGAAAACCAAAAAACATGTAAAAGAACGGTAATAAATGCATATAGACAATTTAAACAACCAAAAGGAAATGCTATAGAACAAACAGTACATAAACCATTAATTTTGAGAGTAGATAAGTACCATTACTGATCTTTGGATGGTTCATCTTGATCCCGCTAGAAGCTGAAAGAACTGCAAGTCATATTTTGGTAAAATGTTTCATACCAAAACAACAAAATAATAAATTAAAGATTACAGCACCATTACAACAATCCAAAATATTGCCCTATCTCATGTGGAAATCATTTTTATATGGACATTTTTTTCCCAAAAATATTATAATTTGACGAGGCCATATTTTAGTACTAGAAGCATATAAGATTAGCTTAACGCAGATACTAGAATGCACTGACACTCTCTCAGCGTACATGTCGAAAATGCTTGTTGGCATATCCGAAATGTTTTTTAGTTTGGTATAGTTGATGACACTCCATGAGATACTTCATGTTGGTCGACGACACGTGTCGAAAACTCTAGGTAATGTGTCCAAATTATCGTTAGGTTTGGTATAGTTGGACACACCTCCTTACACATTGCCAAAACGCTTGGAAATACATCATGTTGGACATCAACACGTGTTCGAATTACCAGGTAGAGTTATTTTTCATTTTATATAGTAGGACACGTTGTCGAGATGTTGGGCAACACATTGCCAACACTTAGATACATGTCAACACAATTGAATTAACAAAAATAAATTCAATTTACAATATAAAATATAAAACCGAATGTACGGGCATCCTCAAATGTGAAGAACTGTGTAATACGTCACTGTTCTCTACAAGGTAGATGCAGTGACCAAGAGTAGTTGACAAACCCATCAAAAGAGATAAGAAAGATTATAGAAGACCTGTAATTACCTGATATAGCAGGAGTGAGAATTCCATCACCAATCACCATGCAAGTGCCAAAAAGTACTAGTATGAGAAGGGCATTCTTTCTAAATGCATGTGCCTCCAGCCATCTCTTATTTTTAGTAGATAATGAATGCTCGCGGAATGCGCCGCGACTATAAGTTGTAAGCTCCTCATCAGTGTGATGTTGGTTGGGATTGTTTTCACATTAGCATGCCAACATAGTAAAGAATAAAGAGCAAAGCCCTAAACAAAAGATGAATACAACTATGAAATCATAGTCTGTGTCAAGCTTTTTAACCTTTCTTTTTCCTTATCTTCCTTTATTACAGACATGAATGGAAAATTTAGAAATATGGGTAAGATGATTAGTAAAAAGCCTTCGATTGAAAGAATTAAACTTGCTTCATTCTTTATTCTCCAATAATATCACTTCTTTCATGAAAATCTTTTGGTTTTTGTTGTTTTTGCTTCGGCACATCTTTCTAAACATTACTATTATTTGACTTTTTCTAATTATTTGGCAGGGTCACCGAAGAAATTGAACAACTTCTCACAGTTTCACAGGTAGAAATTGTCCCAAAACATTGATACGGCTAGTCTCCAAATAAGGTATGAATTATGATGCCTAAAATACTTGCGACCATTGCTTCTTTTAGCACTAGATGTTCCAAGATAAAAATATCAAAGATGCAAGTGCTAACTAAACTGTGGTGGAACTAAATATTGCAGGATGCTACTATCAGTCAATGAACATTCGAAGGAGAAGGAGAAGGAGTAGCAAGTGATTATCCAAAATCAACGTGCTTGTTATTTTTACTATATTTTGTTTTTTGTAACAACTTACAACTTCATTTTGACTAAAACGTAGCAATCAATATTCTCTAATGTCTCACTTGATTATATAAATAAGAAAATAAAATGACTTCTCCAGTTAATTAAAGAGATTGATCTTTCCATTCTTGGTATAACATATTGTAACAAGCTTTGCCTCTAGCAGCCAAAGAAGGGACATTCATTTTAATTAACAATTAAGCTTATCAATGACTAAATTCCAAAATTAGGAATCTCGTAACATGCTTATACCAATTAAATATAACAAATATTTCATACTCTGTATCAGTTTACCTTGACCATTGTCATTTGCTCTACATACTATGAAAACACAGTTGAGTGGAGGTATCAGAGTAAGGAAGTATATAATCAATGAAAGGGCACCAATAATATCCTCTGTATCTTTTATTCCATGGGGAATTATATTGTTGAACACATATAGAGGAGATGTTCCTAAGTCTCCATATACCACTCCCAGACTCTGGAAGGCAAGTTTCAAGAGCAATATTGCAGAGAAATTCTGTTGTAATAGAAATGAGATTAGAGCAGTGAATCATACAACTTAATATTCAATTGTTACAACAAAAATGTCAGAAACACTATGCAAAACATTATGTGGCTATAGTAAGACTTTGAGTTGAAATACTTCGAAGAAAGGTTCTACAGATCGACTATTTAGAAACATTATAGCGCATCGTGCGTTGTGGATCGTGTAGTCTGCTGTAACCAAGTAAATATCACATTAGCACTAGAGCAACAAATTTAATCTAGGGAACAACATAAAATTTAATTTAGTGGCACCTAGTTATTATATAATTATACTTACAAGTTGAAGCAGATTTAAAGAACATCTCAACAAACACAAATCAAGCAATTGTAGAATCTAACTTGCTGATAATAATTCATCAATACATAAATAGTTACATAGTTTGTATATATGAAAAATGATAGAAATTTGGGTCTACCTTTTCTCTATACATATTTCTCTGTCTTCCAGCCTCCTCATCCATAGGTTGATCAAGCTTCTGTTCCAAAACCCACAGGCCCCCTTTAGTTTCATCTTCTTCATTAAATTCCACCCGAGATGGCAGTTCTCTTTCTGAATCTAGATAGCTCATTTGACTAATTCAAACCGATTTTTGATAGAAAAGATCGATACTAAAACTCCAAATATGAAGAACTCAACCTCCAAATTGAAAACTCAATTCACTTCTGGAAAAGAATGCCCAACAACTAGTTTCTGAAGAGCAGAAATTATTCAATACTAAATCACTCAGCTGGAATAGAAACCTCTACGATGGTGTCCAATCAACATCAGCCCCATACCCACCTAAGAAGTACCAAAAAAAAAAAGAACTTCAAACTTTTTAAAAAGCACATTTTATGGGTCAATTCTTGTTAAATATATTATTAATTATTTCTTGAATAATAAAATTTTGACATTTTCTAATACTAACTAAATTAATCTTATGTAATTTAGGTCACTAAAAATCAATTTGTGTGTCAAAATTCAACAAATTATAAATCTTTTATAATGAAATATGGATTTGAAGCANTCTTGTTAAATATATTATTATATATTTATTGAATATAATGAAATATGGATTTGATGCAATAAATAACCACCAATCAAAGATAAATTTATGTGGCAAAAATAAACAAGATAGCTTTATATACTATAAGAATATTCTGGAAAAATAAAATCACCATTTAAAAAATAATCAACCATAAAGAACGTGTTGCAAAGTAAATTATTTGAAATAAATCAACACTTTCTCAATTAAGAAGAATTAGAGCGCATCCATGTTGGGGTATCAGATATAAATTCTTCAATTCCTTCACCTTGTACAAATGATGGAGTTTCAGTCATATTAAAATCCTCGTTTTCATTGTCTGTATTGAATCTATTTTCATTATCATTGCCATCACCGCCATCACCATCAAGATCAAGATTAAGATCATCAAAATGAAATTCATCTGGAAAAAGTATAAAATTTAACATTACATCATATGTAATGGAATAAGAAGAAGAAAAAATAGTATCAGTTGAACAATTACCATTATTTTTATGGTTCTCCATAGTACATGGACCTAAATCACAGTAAAAAGTCTCCAACTCATCATCTACTAGATTCAGTGGCTCCTCCTCTAATACCCAATTGCCATAAATGCCAAACCTTTCAAAGTCAATAGGATCATAATTTCGACTCTTGAAGTGATTCCTAAACAATGTTTGTTATTTTCAAGTGCAATAATCAAATATAATTCTAGTAAAACAAAATCAAATCTAAAAAATCCAATAAATCATAAAATGATGAAAATTTTTATTTAAATAACATTATTGTTGTTGCAATCTTAAATTATAGTGGACATAAACAAGATCATTAAACATTTGGTGCTCGAGTCTATTTCACTTTTTAGAATGGATATGTTCAAACATACTCTAATTCCTCTCGCAACCTGAAGAACTGCATGTTTGACTTAATACTCGAATTGCAAGTGTTTGTAGGTTTGGTGCAGTACTACCATAACACATTCACCATTCATCTGTAAAAAATAATAATCAATTAAAATAGATGTATGTTATATACACTGAAAATTATACTAAATAATACAACAAAGTACATAATATAATATTTATTTTACCAAGAGTCATTCTATGGCAATCAGCTACTACAGATAAACATCCAAAGACATCATGTGCTTGCCTAAATAGTCTCATTTCACTAGTTATTTTGTTTCTTAAATCAGGTTGACCATAAGCGTATCTCTCAATTACATCTAAAAGTCCCGAAATAGTTTTTTTTTATGATTTTTCATATTTGGATTATTATATTGAAAAGAAGGGTTTAACCAATATCCAGCAGCTGAAGATTACGCAACTGATTATCCCATCGATTCTGAATAATTTACAGATAAGGAGCAATTCTAGTCTTCTTTCGTTGAAATCTACGTTCCATTTCATATTTTACCACATGAATAGCTTCATACAAGTAGCCCATTGAAGGCTTTTCATCACTATCAACAATTCGTAAAACACGAACTTTCAGTAAGTTGTACAATAATAGTACACTCTTTCCAAAACACAGAATCGAGTACATTATCGACAAATTTTTTCCCTTTGCTGTCCTTAGCATATGATGATAATGGCCAATCTCTAGATGGCACCATTGCTCTTAATGAATCTTTTTGGGCCAGTATGCTTTGTAAGGCTTAAAGTTAGTGGCAAAATGAGTAGGACCAAGTCGAAATATTTCTTTTCCTTCAGTAAACTTCCTCATCAAATGCAAATGGTAGCAATGGTTGTATATATATTTTGTGATTTTTGATACTTGAAATACGACATTACTAACTTCATCCAGTTTTCCAATATCATGAAACATTAGATTTATACAATGTGCTACACATGGAGACCAAAATAATGTTTGAAATTCTCGTTCCAATAACCTACCAGCAGCAACGTAATTTGTAGCATTATTTGTCACCATATGGACCACATGTTCTGAACCCACAAATAACACAATATCTCGAAACAACTTGTATAACATGTCAGCAGTTTTTGATTCATCTACAGATTTTAAGAATACTGTTCTTTTCAGACAATAAACTAGAAAATTAATGAGAGTACTTCTACATTGATATGTCCAACCATCTGCAAAAATTGTACAACCAGTCATCTTTCAAGTTGAACAAGAGCTATCAACATAATTCTCCACTTCTTTAACATTTCTAGCCAACAAATAACCACGAAAACTATAAAAGTTTGGACTTTAATAGCCAGGACCCATACTAGCTATGACATCTATACTTTGTTGATAATACAAAATTTAAAGTATTGAACGGAATGCACGAATCAATCATCCATTTCGATATAGTAAGATATAACTTCGTTATTTTGAAGAACATTTTTAATAGTAGGTTGGCTACCAGGTCCTATTCTTGGCATGAAGTAAGAACCAATTCCTTTTTATTCTTTTAAAATTTTAGCTCCCACTCCTTTTATTTCACTTTTCCCATAACTATACTCTTTCTTTTAGAACTAGGAGGGACGTTTCTTGAACATTATTATCATGCAAA